GAAATCACATCTTTATATGAAATATATATTAAATTACCTCCTTACAAAAAAAAATAAGTCTAAAGAGTCTAAACTGTATTTTAGAAGTATGACATGGCATTATTGAAGAACCAAAGTTGATTGAAAGACAAAAACAAAACATGTCAGAGGTTGGCTTGTTTCATGAATTTACTCTGATGCAATTTTTTTTTAAATATGAATTCAAACAGTCAAAAAAAAATTAAAATAAGAGCAGGTTAGGATGAGTAAGAAATGGAGCCTCAATGGTTTTCTTTGAGTAATTGTGCTAAGTCAACTGTATATCCGACAAAGAGACAGATCTTGCACAGTTTGATTAAGATCTAATAGCTGCAACTAAACTAAGCAACTTTTTCAGGGTCAAAGAGCATTAATCTGAGAAGCAGCTCACAATAACTCTGGAGGAGCTGCAGAGGTCAAAAGTTTAGGTGTGAAAACTTTACTCAACAACAGTTGGTTACTCTCTTTAAAATGTGGCCTTAACAGAAGAATGATGGAAAGAAAATCATAAGGTTGAGTTAAGGTTTTCCCCAGGCCCTGTGGGAAACACTGTTAGCATTTTATGGGCTACATCTGGTAGGGGCTTCCAACAGTGAGACCAGGAACATGCAGTCAGAGCTACCAAGTAATAAGTCTCATCTGTTATATAGCAAGACTTTGATGTCCATGTATGGTTTCCATTCAATTTAACTGATCTGGACCAACAGAGGCAAAAACAACCAATAAATAAGTATAAAATTCTTAAATTAAGTGCATTTACCCTTAATTTGTGTAGGTAAAGAAGATGGTTTGACAATGGTATTAGTTTTTTGCACTTGAAATAAGACAATGCTATTGTTTTTTTTTCTTCTTATTTTAAGTGTAAATTTTCCTGTTCCATAGGTAAAGTGTTTCACTTACCTCCTCAAATTAAGAAAAAAACGCACTTATTTTTCCTTAAATAGAAGACTTTAATTTCACTGTATGATCTGGTTGAATTGTCTCTGTATAAAGTGGCTCGAGATAACGTGTTTTGAATATAAATAAACTGAACTGAATAATGTTAAGAAAAAATTAATTATTTATATGAAAATTTTTTGTAGTATATGAAAACAAATAAGAAGTGTTTAATTTGAAATTTTATGTTGATAAAGTCAGGTGTGAATATGTAGGCTCGTGGTGGCCCACCTGGTCCAGAGACGCCATGAACATATCCAAACTGGCTCTCTCGCTCCTCATCCCTGATTCTGGGCAGCTTGGACAAGTCCATCTTCACTGGTTAGTATCCTGACCAGAAAAAGAAAGAAAAAAAGAACACATTTGAGATGCAATGACTAATTTGTTTATTTCAATTAATTCAACAAAAACTAAAACAGATACTGAATATTTCTCCTTTAATGTCACCATTCATCTGAATAAATCAGCTTTCAAAAGACCAAATACATATATATTCACTGAGAATAAAAATTTCCTAAACAAATATAGCAAAACATTTGTGGTTAAATCCTTTGCTGCACAAACTGTTCAGCTCAGGCAGCAGCAGCCCAAGCTGTCAGCGGTCGTGACAAACCCATCCCCCAATGCAGCCGACTCCACTGTTAACTTAAAAAAAAGCAGCTTAAAAAGAACCCAATGTTTTAATTAGTTCTTCTTAAATAAGGTAAACATAATAAAGATAATGCAGCTTTAGGCACCCGCTATTTCTTGTTCCCCTTGTGTCCTTTTATGCCCTTCTTACTGATGTACACATCTCTCTTCCTGCTTACGCCTGGCTGCTCCTAACCATCTGGGAATGAGTGAAGCAGCGCCCCCAACAGACCAACAGGAGAACTGCAAGAATCAAAGCTAGGGAGACGCTGCTTCTCTGATATATTTCAGTCTAAATCAAACTGCCTCCAAAAAAATAAATATAGAGGTATTAGTCAAGGGAATTTTGTGTAAATGGAAGTGAATATACCTGGATAAATCTACGGATACGTGTCAGAGTCAGTCTAGATGTTAAAAGATCTCTTAGTGTACAATTTGACGAACTTCTGTCTTTTCAACTATCACTACAGCATCTGCTTCAATTAAAACAAAACTGCGTAAACATACCGTATTCTGTCATTTGATCAGTTTTTTCTATTCTATCATCTGATCTGTTTTTTTTCTCAACCCAAAAAAATTTCTAAAGCACAAAAAGAAGATACAAACATAAATAAAAAACACCATTGCAATGGTGACAGCAATATTCCACACACACAATAAAAAAAAAAAAAAACTACATGAAATCAGATCAATGCTTTTAGATATCTAGGCTAGATGTAATTCAAATTGAACATCAAAAGAGAAAAGAAAGGGGATTTAAATGATTTTGACTGATTATTGATGGTACCAGTTTAGCAAAATGCTAACTTTCACACAAAACCTTATCTTTAGTTTATAAAGGAATGGAGTAAATAAAATAAAAGGTTGTCAGATGAGAACAAGCAGATGGCTTGACCACAGACGGTGTTACTACAGTCGGCTCAGAACGCAGAAGTGAGTTTAACAATCATACTGGCGTGGGGGAAGTTTTGTTGGCACAACTTAGTACTAAATACTCATCAATAAAAACTCAGTAAACCCAATATTGCTGACCATGTTTTTTTCCCCCTTTCTGACTATGGCGTACCCATCCTGGTTACTTCCACCATGTCACAAAGCTTCAATCATCTTAAACTGACTCAATAAACATAAAAAATTAGCTACCTGAGGCCACCCAAGTTGGATGGGATGAGTTGGAAAGGACATTTGGATCACTAATGTGCTGCCGACAGAAATGTCAGGAATCTTTGAGGAATTCAAATTTAACTTTTAGATGAAGAACTAAAGCAGTCCCAAAGAAGGAAAAAGAGGATCCAAGCCAGAACATGTGGCTGAAAACTCTATATATGAGTACATTATAACCCAAGTTTGATCATTGCTTATGGTTTGGTCTTGCTTCTGAAAAAATATTTTTCAAACTCAAATTCACTTTGTAGCTAAACTTTATTATCACTATAGGGCATATGATAAAGTCAAATGTCTGTGTTTAAAGCCCTTTTAAGCAATGGCACAGACTTCATAATAAGCTTTCTACAGCAGCTTACTGCTCACCTCACCAATTTTATAAATATGATGTGAATTGTAATACGACACTTCAAAATAAAACTATTTTCTCCTAACCTTAGGTGCATGATCTAAGAACTGAGACTTTAACCTCTACTTGGTCATATGACTCTGGCACATGACTGCCTTTCCACACTCTTTTTAGGAAGTGGAAAATGAGCAAAAAGACTAAACTGGGAAGTCAACAATTTAGGCTGTGTGGAAACTCTGGGGAAGCTTTACCACCTGACAGCAGCTGATCCACAGAAGATGGATAAGAACTGATTGAAAAAAAGAGGGAGAAAGTGTCCCAATGTCTGATTTTACATAGGAAACCTCTTGTTCATCAAATAGAGATCAATTTAGTTTGTTGTTTTATGTTTTTTTCTTATGCAGAAGTCAAAGGACTAGCCTCATATGTTACATATATGTGATATGGTCACCCAGAACATTTTACGTGCTAATGTTAACTTCAAAAGCAAGTAAATGTTTTAAGCTAGCCCATATGTAAACAGAAGCAGTTTTAATACCTAAAAAAAGAGCAGTGACTGTCTGATGATGTGTTTCTAGCTTAAATATGAGATTTAATCCAGACTTTAGCAGCCAGGCAGGTTTTGAATCAAAATGATAAACTATCTAGATGTATCTCAAGTACAAGGAGTCTGAAATCCGGTTGAGAAATCAAATATAAGGATATATGAAATTTATTTAAACAGAAAAGCCCATTTAAGCAGGTCTGTAACCATAATTCAGTTTCATATAAAATAATAGCAGGATGCCTCTTTAGGCCTGGTTTTAAAAAAATGCTGCCTCTACCGTTTTTTCGATACAGCTAGGCGGTTTTATTTTAATGCCTCGCGCACCGAAACATTTTCTGTTTTGAATGACGAACCCAAGGAAATGAAGATAAATATAAATATATTTACCGTCCGGTCGTGAAGAGGATTTTTAGTGTCTTGCCTCAAAGGAGAGAAGCTCGCTAGTGCGGTGAGTGACAGCAAGCGGAGGTCAGCTGACTTCATTCACTCGTCGTTCGTTTTTTTTTTTTTTTACTGCAAGGCCCTGGTAACTATCGCCATTTTGGATCCACCCCCTGTACCAACGGTGGGAATTTCGTATATTTTTTAGGATTCAGAATGTTTGGCTCAATTCACATGGAATCTTGATATCTTCACAAATTTACGTACATTTTGTCTCACATTTGTCTTTTATTTTGTACCTTTCTGACGCTACAGTTACCATACATAATGTTTTGAAAAACAACAAAAATTACCGAGACAAAACTGTACTCCATTATTTAGAAGCTGACTACGATAGTTCATTTAATGAGCTGGATCATCTAGCTGGCTCGGTCATGAACGGAAAACCAATAGGTTACGTTTTAAAGGGCAAATGCTAATTTCTTCAAATGGTTTCACATCATACATTATAATTAGAATTTTCAAAGTCAGAATAACGAGTTTCAAAAATATAACTAAGGCGTACAAAATCGATCCAAAAAGTATGCTATAAATTCATTTCTATTTCTAATTTTGAAATCCACAATAGAAATGTGGGATCTTAAAAGTCTCGATTTTGACATTGAAATACTTAACTAAGTTTTCCTTTTTATTTTAAATGTTACATAAAATATTTTAATATTCCCTTTTTGTGTGTCTTGATTCCTGTAAATCTTGCCTTTACCCTGGTTTTGGACTTGTAGGCTTGTTTTGGTTGGACCTCTTTAACAAAAAAAAAAATACTAACTCTAGGTTTAATATTTCACCCAAGTCACTTTTAGCTAATATCTGTATTATACAGCCTCGTTTATCGCCGTTTCATTGTAACATGTTATTCAGTAAGGATCAGCCTAACAGACATTACTCAGGGCATACAGCCCGTGGTGACGCCATGGGTTCAGGGTTGACAGGCTGCCGTGCTAGCGTGTGGCGGCTAAGCTAACGGCAACCGTCGCTACATGTGGAGGGTAGAACGGGAGGCATTCCTGTCCCTGTATCATTTCAATTTCTTCATATTTACTCCTAAGCAACCATTACGTCAAGGCTAATCTCAAACAGGGATATTATTTGTGTAAAATGAAAGGGTGAGTCCAAGCTTTTTGAGCCACGAATATGTAGCTTAGCACGACCAAAGTTTTTCATGCCTGTTTTTTTTTTTTCTTTAAAAGGGAGGCGGGCATGGGGACCGACGAAGCAAACTGATAAAATGATTCTGTTCAGGTCTATAATGTGGGGGACATGGGCAACTGTAGAGTTAATGAAACATTTTTTGTCGTGTTTTTTCTTTTATCTTAAGCCGCTTTTCGGTTCACTTGCATTGCTAACATGCTAAGCTAACCAGTTAGTGCTACTAGTGGGAGGCTGAGTCAGTAAAGCTTCAAAAACAGAGCTAAGCTAAAAAGGCAGTGCTTGATTATTGGATGATTTCTAAGTATTATGGAAAATTCATAACGTATTCTGTCAAATCAGAAACTAAATAATGAAAAATGTGTGTACATAGTCTGCGTATTTTAGTTGAAACTTGTCGGTATGTTAGGTCAACTTCAGCTTTCTAAGTGTAACTTGATCTGTCAAAGTAACTGCGGTATGAAGTTTTTATTTATAGCCATTCATTGTGTTATTTGTGGCCAAGATCTTATATAATTTAAGGAGAAATAACGCTAGACTCTGAAGAGTATAACTTTTTTTTTTACTGTACATTCCTGTGAATAACACACGTGATCAGGAGCCCTTTCTAGATGTCCAGAGGTCCTATAAATACTACACAAGAACTCTGACAGAGATAAAGCAGAGAGTTCAGGGTCCCCTACTCTTAAAATAAATCTAACAAGTTTGATTTTAACTCTTCATAGATGTTTCTCATTAAACAATTTAACCTCAATTAAGATGGAATTTGTCATCTGCAATGTCTTATCTTGCAGTTTAGTTGTAAATGAAGTTAAAACCCAAAGCTCCATTCCACATGTGCTTCTGTTGACATCGCATAAAGCAGCAGCTCAGTGTGCTGTTCCTTTCTTTAAGAGTTTTAAATAAAATTCTCAAAAAAAAAAATTCTATTCGTATTTTATAATTCATTATACACCTGCTAGGTGTATGGTTCTTAGAAAATCATAGGTACTCACAATTATGAAATGAGCTGAGCTGAATCATCTTTTTGTAAATGTATCTCTTGCAGAGTTGGTCTGAAAAGCAAAGTAAGACACAATCCTACTACATTGGTGCCCCTCTTGTCAGCTATTTAACCGTTTTGCTCTTGTTCCAGTAGCCGGATCGAGCTGGGGGATGTTACGCCTCACAACATTAAGCAGCTGAAACGTCTGAATCAAGTCATCTTCCCTGTCAGCTACAACGACAAATTTTACAAAGATGTACTGGAGGTTGGAGAGCTTGCAAAGCTAGGTAAGATGAGTTTTAATGCTTTTGCTAATAGCATCTAAACGAAATTGACATACATAAATAATAAACTAAAGAAAAATAAAACTTCAAGGGACTGTGCCATGAAAAAGAAAACTTATATAAAAGGAGTAAAGAATTCTTAAAATAAATGTTTTTGCCATGCACTTGAACAGCTAATTAAATGTATCTGTTACTGAATAAGCATTTTGGATCATAAAGGTATAGAGGACGATCTTTTATTTCCGAGTGGATCATCTAAATAAGTGGTCCTCCTAATTGTCATTCGCTTTGGTGATATATTTATGCAAGGCCGTCCTTCATCCTCGTTCCCATTTTCACTTACCGGTGGGGAGTCTGACATAGTGGAAAAATTGCAAATCTTCTTTTGGAAAGTAAGCTTGTATGAGTGATGCAAACAGCAACTTTTAAACTGAGCATGCACAAGAAGAAATGGGCTCCTTAATGTTCTTGCTTGTGTTTAATAGAGCTGCGTGAAGCAGATTTTTTTGACATAGGTGGGGTGTCAGCTTCACACAGCTGTTTAATCAGCGTTCCATCTTGGGAGCAGGTACAGGGTTGTGTATTTGCATTTCTTTCTTTCAAGTGGAGCAGTGCATCATTTAAAAAAATTCACGAAAATCCTCCACTATACCACTATAAGTGTTTCAAGCTTTTATTTCTTGTAAATTGAATGATAGTGAACTAAAGATCATGTAAAATGCTCTGCATATCTAGAACCAGAACTAAACATGGAGAAGCAGCATTTAGTTCCTATGCTCCACTTATCTGGAACAAACTTCCAGAAAACTGTAAAAGTGCGGAAAGCCTCAGTTCCTTTAAATCAAGACTAAAAACACATTTGTTTAGGATTGCCTTCGACTGTTCTAGTTAAAAAGTTCAACTGAAACATCATTAGTTCAACTTTTTTTATTTTTCCTTAGTCCAAATGTTTTTAATGTTCTTTTTTGTGTCTGCATTTTTTATTTAATTTTATTTTTTCCTACTTGCATTGATTCTGTTTTATTTTCCTATATTTTAATCAAGTAAAGCACTTGGCATTGTCTTTGTACTGAATTGTGCTACACAAATAAATTTGCCTTGCCTTGCCTCAGTAACACAATTGTCAATGAATTGGCTTAGAGTACCTTTGGAAAAGTGAACAACTCTAAAATTTTGCCTGAAATTGAAATCTTCTTTTATGTCCCTCAAATTTCACTTTTGACTTCAAACATGTTGATTCTCTTCCTCCAGACTGTGCGAACCAAATGAACAACAGAATTGAGTTTGTTTTGAACAGACGTGTGGATCATTGAACAACATACCAGTTATTTTTCTCCCCATATCTGGTAGAGTACTTTTTTCCATATGCAGGGTTCCTCATCTTGACTTCAGCTTCAGTCCACTCCTCATGACGCAGCCCTAAAAAAATATTTGCAGATTTTGCTTGAAGATCCTATTAAGGTTGTGGCAACCCTTGACATTGGTGTATTTCTTCTATTACCACACCTTTTCCTTCCACTCTTCTTCCTATAAAAATTTTGGATACAGCACTTGGTGAACAACCAGCTTTTTAGCAATGACCTCGGTTGCCCCTTGTAAAGACTACCTCTTCTGGATATGTCCAGTCAGCTGCCTTTAGCGTGATTCTGTACTGTCTACTGCCTAAGATTCAGTAAACATTGTGAAGATGTAAAGTTAACTAGGTAATTTTGTCTTGCAGCATACTTCAATGACATTGCAGTGGGGGCTGTGTGCTGCAGAGTGGATCACTCTCAGAACCAGAAGAGGCTGTATATCATGACACTGGGTTGTCTAGCACCCTACCGTAGACTTGGAATCGGTAAGCTGCTCCATTCGTATGTAAATAATGTGGTACTATTTGATTTTCTCTGTATTTTATGTGAGTTTAAACTTTTGTTTTTTAAATATATGTTAGGTACAAAGATGCTGAACCATGTGCTAAACATATGTGAGAAGGATGGCACTTTTGACAACATTTACCTGTGAGTGTCTACAGGAATAGTTGTTTTTAATGTATGACATGTTAGTTTTGAAAGACGATTTTCAAAAAGGTGATTTAAATGTATATTATTTTGTTGTTGTTGGTTTGTTTATTTATTACTTTTCATATAAGTGAGTCAGTCTTAGGATCAAATTAGATTTTTCAGTTGCAGACATTGTCAATTGCTTACAAGCGTTAAGGTGTAAGAAGTACATATTATGCATTTCTTAAAACTTTTTAGTTTTTATGCTTTAAGCAACTGATATCCTAAAATGTCATGTAGTTTGTAGGTTAAAAAGAACAGTCAGAGTCAGAATGTTTGCTTTTTAGCAGGGATGTAAATCTACATCCTTATAAAATAGAAAAGAACTTTATTGAACTTATCTTTATGCCTGTTCCTTCAAATGATCTAATGGCTTTTTTCTCATTCTACAGTCATGTGCAGATCAGTAACGAGTCAGCTATCGACTTTTACCAGAAGTTTGGCTTTGAGATTATCGAGACAAAAAAGAATTACTACAAGAGGATAGAACCTGCAGATGCCCATGTGTTGCAGAAGAGTCTGCGCAGCCCATGTGCGCCACCCAGTGGAGAGCTTCAGAAAGTAGAGTAGGGGCACACAGCTTTTTTTTTGAGGGGGGGGAAGAGAAGCACATGTGCCCATCCACACAGAAACAGAACTGTGACAGATGCCCAAGGTCAACACATTCATCAGTTTCTTCAAAAGGACGCTAGAAAGACAAAACAGTTTTCCAGTATAAAAAAAATGCTGCATTTATTTTGCAAAGTTTTTTTTTTTCTTCTGCATATTTTATTGTTCCCTTTATTACATTTGGTTATATGAAAAATGGCAGAAAGCTCTGTACCCAACGAATTGGTTTGTCAAGGTGAAAAAGCTTGCATTGAACAGACGGGGAGAGTGTGGTGAGGTGGTTGGTGTTCTGTTTTCAAACCTTACCATTTGTTTTAGAGTTGTTTGTTATGCGGTGACCAAACCTTATGGGGACATATCTATATTTTGGAGGAAAAGGAAGCAGTTTGAAAGACCATGCCCCTTGGCTGGTGAATTTGGAGTGTTAGCTGGAGCTGATCCATTGAACAGACAAGACTTTTTTCTTTCTGGGAAGTTGGAGAGACCAGTTTGTCGATGCGTCCAAATGGGAGAAGCAGAAATGTTTTCCCACGGTACTGACACGACGGAGTCTGAAAAGTTTGGTTGTGGTCGAATTTGTTGGCACCACTCTTAATTTCCAGAGAACCTCTTTTTAATTTAACTCCCCTGAAATGTTATTTTTATTTTTCAGTCTTACACGGCAAACGGTTCAGAGGTTCCCCTGGGTTTACGATTAACAGAGAGAAATATCTTGTGTGTGGGGGAACTGAAGGAGAAGTTGCAGTATTGAAGTGGTTCAGGAATCTGACATGAATATTTAGGGGGTGTATTGATATAGATTGATTGGCTTAAATTGATTTAATTTGAGAATAATTTGCTTAAGGTGGGTAAGTATTCATTTCTTAATCACCTTTAGCTCCCTATGTAGCGACCTTTCAAATAACTTCATCAGGAAGCTTTTGTTATTGCACCCATATGAGGTTTTCATGCCGTTCTGACGGTTTAACCCAGAAGAAGCTCTGACCCCTCTGCATGCAATGAGAGTTGTTCTCTCTACTGTAGTATACGCATGTTTTTGCTTTCTTTGAAGAATTTTATCTTTTCTGGAGCTCTATATTGTAAGACTTTTTAACATCTAAATAAAGGAATTACTATTTGCAGTAAAGGTTGTCTGGGTTTGGTTGATTTCAGCTGCTGTTGAAATAAGTTTCAACTCACAATAATCTAAAGGTAAGACCAAAAGCATATATACTGCTTACATTTTTACATGTTTAGCTGTCACACTAACACAAAACATGTAAACACATTGCATAAACCAACAGTAATTCATATTAAAGTGGAAAGAAATGTTATGGTTTTAAATATTTTCCCTAAAATTAAAAAAAAAAAATTGTGTGGGTTTTAAATCAGTCCCTCTTTAACTCAATACCACTGAATAAAAGCCATTACAGCTATGCTCCTGCTAGGTGGTTAAAAATCTTATTTAAAAACAAGCTAGAGGCTTGAAGGGAGTTCAGACAGACCCAAACCGTAAACATATATGCTATAGAGTTACTTGCACGCATTTCTATTAAATGCTTACAAGAGCCTGCATGAGCCCATTTATTCTTGTGACGCTCTATTTAAAAGTTGCTGTTTGCATCACTCATACAAGCTTACTTCCAAAAGAAGATTTGCAATCATTCCACTGTTGGACTCACCACCGGTAAGTGAAAATGGGGATGAGCAGATAGGACGGCCTTATGTAAACATCTCCAGAATGATTGACAATTAGGAGGACCACCATCTAAATAGATCATCCACCTGGAAAAAGAACATCCTCCACTATATCTTTAACAGTAAATATGACACTCATTTCCTGGGGAATTAAGGTGTGATTGATAACTTTCTTTCCACATTCATGAAGGCTCTGCTCTTCCATATATTAGAGATGTTATATATTATTGTCCAATAAGAGCACTTAGCTCCTAAAAACCATCTTTTTTTGTTGTCTTGAGTCCTTCAACGTAGAACAGGCCAGAGATTGGAGCGTCCTACACAAACTACGTGGACTCAGCTGTTGACCTTAAAAGTTAAGAATTTTTTTTTTTCTAAAAAACTTTTACAGAAACTTTTTTACATTTTTAAATAAATTATTTACAACTTTATTTTTGTTTTAGTTTTTTGATCTTGCTTGATTGCAATTTAAAATTAAAAGTGCTATATAAACATTTGAAATTTAAAAGTTGATGTTGCAAATGTACTCTAGTTTTTATACAGTGTGAGCTTGCTTTCAAAAAGTGCAAAACACCTAAAGACGCAAGACAAAATCCTTGAAGCTGGTTCTAAAAGGTATTGAATTGAGAGAGTCAACTGCAAATATATGATAGGCTTTTAGATTTTCAATTGTTTTAATAATTCAAATGTAATATTTCTCAATTGTTTTAATAATTCAAATGTAATATTTCTCTTTTTATTTGACTAGACTCTTCAGCTTTCAGTTCAGTTTATTTATATAGAGCCAATTCACAACACATTAAGGCACTTTACAGTTCAACAGATCATACAGTCAAACTGATTCAAAGTTTTCTATCTAAGGAAACCAGTTGAATGCATCGACCCTTGTTTTTTACTTGCCTACTATTACAAAACCCAAATAAAATTACCTTAAGGTTTTTCATTTGAAAAAAAAGCAATAAGTAACTTTGCAAAGCACTGTTTACCTTTGTCACAAAACACATTTGTCTTTTATGAATTCTGAAATAAGAGTCTTTGAACTTTCTACATCTTTTTTAGAATTTGACTTAAACTTCATAAATGTTTTCTTGAAAAATTTCAATTCTTTATGATACTATTATAATACTCTTAAGGTTTTTAATATCCATCCTCTTCTGATTATCTGGGGTCGGGTCACGGGGGGGGAAGCATCTTCATTGGGAGACCCATACGTCCCTCTCCACAGCTACTGTTTTGAAACTGACATAATAAACACTGATTATACACATCTTTGGAGGGTGTAACTGAACTTTCTAAAGATATACATTAAAAGAAGTAGGTGTAATACTTTGATAGCAGTGTAAAAAAAAAAAATCTGATTAAAATATTCTTCTATCAGGACTTTTTTTATACTTATATCACTGTTATAAGTATATAAAAAAAATTTAACCAAAATTAAAGAAAATAAATGATTTATCTTTGACCACTGAGCAGAGGCATAGCCAGAAAATGTTTATAAGGGTGGCCAGACAATAATCAATGTATACTGAGGGGTGACCGAAAGCGGATCGGCACCAGAACCTCAGGTTCAATCTACACTATTGCAACAGGAACAAGCACAACGTCCACATTTCTAAATAAAGACAAACTATAGTTTCCTACAGCCTTTGCTAACAAATAGATGCAAATATTTAAACATCCTTCTAGATAAAAGGTGTAGTGGATAAAATTTTTTGAGGTTTGAGTTCTGGAGTGAACATCTTTTCCATCGTCATTACCTACCTACTTTTAACAATATCATTCTACATTAAATTGACATTACAAGTACTAATATCTTTATAAATTGATAATTTAATAGTTTTTTTTTAGAATAGTTATTTACAGTATCTATTATTATACTGAAGACTCTTAGATGACTTGCAGAGGCATAATTTTCTCTTTACGGCATATAACACAAAATCTAGTTCTGAAAGAGCATGAATTCTGTACTAATCCTCTCTAATAATGGTACATTAATGTGCATCATTAACCAAAGTGTTTTTGTTGTCAAGTAATTGTTAATATATATAAAATTAAAATGTTTTGAATATTCTACTTGAGAGAAAAAATGGTGGGGGTGACCACAGGGGTGAGCAAGGCCACCCCTGGCCCGCCATGTAGCTTCGCCCCTGCCATGGAGGTAGGAATAATACAAAACTAGTGAAGCCGCATTCTGCACAGACTGCTGTGAAGAGGCGTTCCGTTTTCCCATTGGTGGATTCCCCTTACACTCATGATCCTATTGGCTGGTCTGCCGGAGGCACCGCCTCCTCTGCACGGATTTAGGTGTATCTAGATTGTTTTGAGAGAAGAGCTGAATGCTCTGCTTGCTTAACTCCAAATGTCTAAGTTTTTATTGAAACACATATTTGGAAAAATGCCAAAGTTAGAGGTTGGTGGAATATACGTATTTTTTAACGAGTCAGGCGAATTATTCCGTATTTAATGTGCTTAATAATTATGTAGGTAACGGTAAGCTAAGATAGCTGTTGGCTAACTAGCTAGCTTAAATGCTCTGGTTGTTAGCTTTCTGCCATTTAAGTGAAATAATAGACATTTAAACGTCACTTATTGTCGAACGATAACGCTAAAGGAGATGATTTGTTTGTAAAGTTTGTCAAATTAGCTGTTTTATGCTGATGTTAAAAGGTTAACGAACAAGGTTGATGGTAAAGCTAGGTTACTCTACATTAGCATGTTAGCATTCAGTTCTAGAGGAATCTCAAGGGTGACAGCTGTTTTAATACATAGCTGCTGATGTTTATGTTGGTTTGTTTTGTTTTATCTACAGGACAGACACAGGCAGGACTTAAGGTCCAGTTGTTGAATGCGTTATCTGTTACCCTTAACCATTCAGGCAACTGTTAAAACAGGATGCCAGAGATGACTGAAACTAACACAACTGGTCGAAAACCCAAGTAAGTATGTCTTATTTACATATATATAAGATTTATTTTTCCTTTTAGTAAAAATATTGCACTGTGTTGTATATTATGATCCTAATATAATGTAGCATTCCTTATAGATCCTTACATTGAAACGTATCACATGTCAGAGGTTTATTTGAAGACCTGATGTTTTAAACAATATGTCTGTATCTACATACAGAGGGGATGATTGAGAATTAAGAATTTAGAGCATGATGGTATTAATGATGAGGCCTGAGAGTAGGAAGATGCATTGGTTGGTAACATGCATAAGTGATTTTCAATATTTTATTTTTATTATTAAAAAAAAAACATTTTAAAGTGGCACAGAAGAGCAGGATTGAGTCTGCAGTGCTACCATACAGGAAAGACTAGAGGTGTTTTGATGGAGTGATTTGAGCTTACTGGCGATATGTTGTGATAACGAAAGTTTAGTTTATTATTTCAGGGTATTTAAAGTAGTTAAAAGATATAGAGGCATATTGTTGATGTAGATGTGATCATCTGGGGTGATGTTTTTGCGGTAATCAAATACAAGCTATGTTTTAATGACGTTCAATAAGAAGAGATCCCAATTCAGCCACTTTATTTTACCCAAATCAAAAATGTAAACAGGTAAATATTTTAGAAAAGGATTCAGTGGACAGCAGCTTGTGATTTTTCTTTGGTTTATTTCAAACATTCATATAGTAAAAAAAAAAAAATCTGCCATTATTATAAATCAAAAGGTTGCTGGGAGAGTTTTTTTTTTCTAATGGAGGACATTATAAATTGTGTTATTTCGGTCCCACAGGGCTCTAACCCTTTGAACCCTGCTCTATTTTGTATTATTGTGACTTTGTATCCATTATAAAACCACTGACATGGACTTTCAGAAGACTTAAAGGGGAAAATACCACAATTAACAGTAACAAAATATTTACAGAAAAAACAAAAAATGAAACTATAAGCACCATATAAAAGCAGTTATTTTACAGAAAAATGCAATTATTCCCCTTTGTTGCTAAAATTGAGTAATATGACATTATTCAGATATCACAATACTTAAACATCTATTTAATGTAATGATTTTATACACAGTCTTAACTTAATATATAAAAGAAAGACCTGCTACATTTTATTGTAGATGTAAATAGAACATTTGAATTTATCTGCTCTGTATAGAGTAGAAAAAGAAGTAAAAGCTGATATTAGCTGTCAGTCATGCCATCTGCTTAAGTAAGCCTCCAATCACATGCTAAACAAGCAACCCTCTAATTGTTTTGCTTGGTGTAGTGTGAACCTGAATAAGTGGAATAGGCTCTGTCGTTCCCACACTATGACTGTTTCTGTGTGTGGCATCTGGACATTTTCCAAACAGCCAAATATGTCTACATTGGGACTATTGAAAAGTGTATCAATCCTCTTTCAGTCACCTGACTAGCAGTGTGCATCAACAGATGGTTTAGGGTGGCATTGTTGCTGTACGCTCCATGGAGGCAAAGAAAACGCACCTTTT